CAATTTTTTGAAGTTTGAATAATTTTTTTGCAATTTGTGCAAGCTTTGCAACTTTTGTTATTGTGGTTTCTGATATAGATTGAATTATATTTTAAATGAAAATTATTAAAAATAAATAAATAAACATAATTTGCAAGCAATATCGTTTTGGATTTCGTTGCTAATTAGTTGCACGCATCTGTATATACTATTTATTTTTATTTTTATTTAAACTTATTACGATTATACATATTTAAATTATTTGTAATTCATTGCATTTTATTTAAGTTTTTCCATTTTTTAAGTTTTAGTTTTTATTCTATAATTTTATTTAAATTTCATTCAATTTACATAATTTATTTCAAACGAATTGACCTGTACTGAATTTAATTTTATTTGCTTTTTTATTTTTATTTGCTTATTCTTTTTTTAATATTTGTTTATTACATATTTTGTTTTAATTTTAATATTTATGTATCACCTTTTTGGTTAAATTTATTTATTTTTAATTAAATATCAAATACATTTTTTTGATTATTTTAACGACGTTTGTTTTTGTTTTTAAGTTTAACTGTTTTTGTTTTATAATTTTATTTATTTTTACTTTACTTTGTTTAATTAAACTTTCTTTATTTAAATTTATTTTATTCTTTTTTTATTTATTTCACAACAATTTTTGTAATCTGAGTTTACTTAATTTTATCTTATTTTATTTTGACAATTTTTGATTTGATTTAATTTTATTTCAATTAAATTAAATTTATTTCATTTATTTTTTTCTTACTTCATTTAGTTGAATTTTTTTATAATTAATTTAATTTAATTTTTCAATTTTTTTTAATTTAATTGGTTTTATTTTATATCATTTAATTTTTAATTTCTAATTATTATTTTTTTGAATATTTCATTCTTACATATTTTGTTTTCATGTTAATATTTATCGTCTCAGTTAAATTTCTCTATTTTTAATTAACTTTCAAATATATTTTATTATTTTAATAACGATTGTTCTAGTTTTAAGTTTAACCTTTATTCTTGTTTTTATTTTTTAATATTCTATACTTTATTTAATTAAGATTTCTTTATTTAAATGGATTTTAATTTGTTTATTTTATTTTATTTTATTTGCTTCTTTCATTTCACTTTAACCTAGTTTATTTAATTTAATTTTTTTATATTAAATTTTACTTCATTTTATTTAGTTTTAATGGAATTTTGTGTTTATCTTGTTTCATTTTATTTCATTTAATAATACTTTTTTGTTTTACTTCACTTTGTTTAATTTAATTTAATTTTCTTACTTAATTTTATTTTGTTTTTTTTTATAGTATTTTTTATTTATTATATATATATATTTTTTAAACATTTGTTGCCTATTAATTCATATTCAATTTAATTTAATTTAATTTTATTTTTTACTTAATTTTATGGGATTTTTTTTTGTTGTTTTGCTTCGTTGTATGTTTATTTATTTTTTTTAAATGTATTTTATTTTATAGTCGTTTTTATTTACTATACATATTTTTTTAATTTTTAATGCCTATTATTTTTGATTTATTTTATTTTTTCTTTTTAGTTTATTTAACAGTTTATTTTACTTTATTTTAGTCAATTTAATTCTTTTATTATTGTTTCAAATCTGAGTTTGCTTTATTTTGTTTTATAATATTTTGTTAGTATTCTGTTTTACTTTACTTTTTTCACTGGGTTTATGTTTTACAGTCATTTTGGTTTTTTGCCTTTTTTATTTGATTTTGGTTTTATCAAATTTTATTTGCCAGCGATGTTTGTTTTCCTTTTTGTTTCCATTTTTTTTAAGTTTTTTTTTTTCTTTATTCGCTTTCTTCGTTTTGCTATTCGTTTTTCATTTTGGCACTTCCAATAGTTTACCTCTCACTTCATTCCCTACCTATTTCACAACTTGCATTCCTTTTATGCTAATTTTAACTCCCCCATACTCACCCAGTAGCGTGTAGGCCAGCAGCAGCGCGCAAATTCCCAAATTCGTCAGCAGCGCCGACCAAATCGTCTGTGCCTTCTGCTTGCGCCGTTTTTTTTGCTGCGACTTCGTTGATGATGACGAGTTCCCACTGCCAAAGCAGGTACAGCACTTCGATGATCGTTTCGAATCCGCAGCGCTGGTTGTAGCGCCGACAGAGCCACCCATTCCGCCTCCCACGTTTGACAGATGATTGCTGCGCCCCGCAGTGGCATTGCTACCCCCACTTATGCCTAGAGTTACGCCGCTGTTGCTATTAAGTAGACCCACAGAAGGCGGCGGTGGTAGTTGTGTTTGCTGTGTCGAATGTTGCAGCGAAAGCACCGTTATGGGCGTTGTTGCATGCTGCATCATATCGCTGGCTAATGAGAGTGTGGCAGGTGGTAGTTGCTGTTGTTGCTGATGTGCGTGCGCTGCTGATTGATAGCTAGTCGCCACACTACTAAAATATCCGCTCGTGGCAGTAGAGGCGGGCAATGATAACGCCGGCGTTTGTGACTGCAGCGGCGGTCCAGGGCCCATGCCACCAGCGCACATACTCAACGTAGAGGGTGGCAGGCTGAGTGGTGTTGATGCCACAGATGCTGCGGCCGCCGCTGAGGCAGCATTCGGGTACTTAAGTATGCCCACAGGCATAGGAACGGGCGTGTTAGAAGTCGTCGTGACTGCTAGCAAACCGCCTTCGATGTCCTCGAGCGTGGGCATGGGTAGCAGTGGTGTTTTAAAGGTGCTTGTGCCGCCACCAGCGCCGGGTGTGTTGGCGCTACCCATCATGGAGATAGCAGAGGGTGGCGGCGGCGGCAGCGGTGGGGACGCGGAACATGTAGACGACGCGGATGCATTAAGTTGGCTATGCGGTATTATCGGTATGTTCACGTAGGTGGTTGTCTGCGAGGCGGGCGACGACGCAGAGGTGTCCGCTGAAGTCGTCGTAATACTGCTGTTGCTGGGTGTGGCATAGCCATTGGTGTAACCGCTGTCGGACAGCAGACTCGCGGATGGTGGTGGTGGTGGGGGGAACTTATGTTGTTCGATGTTCATGTTGTGGCTATGATCGGTGTGAAGAAGTCTGCGGCTGTTATGCAATGGCTGTAGGCTTGCTAGCATAGGCGGAGGAGTAGTTTTGCACGCAGGTTGACATTTTGGGTGACAAAGATGAAGTACTTCGTTTCCTCACTGATACTGGAGCTGCAATTAGAAGAAGAATTAAAGCGAAACATTAAGGAAATGCACTGTGAATATTTAAAAAAGAAAATTATCTAAGTAAAGGGCTAGGTAGTTAGCTTACAGGGAATAGAATAACAATGAAAATTGGAGTAAAACAAATCTTTTGTATCACGCTGTCCCTTCCTAGCTCATAAATTCCAAAATCAGCCTTTCAGAGAAATGCTATAAGAATCTTGATAAACAAGCTCGCAATTCTAAGAGGATCAAATACGGATAAATTAAATACTATGAACTAGTCGTTGTCTCGAGAAGGGACAATAATCATGCAGAATAAGCTCCAAACGAATCATCATACTGACATATCTGAAAACCCATACGTTTACGACCGGTTAGATAAACATTTAGAAACTTTGCTGGTGAAGAATAGCACAAATATCCTGGCTACCATCGCCAGCTCAGCACAAAATGATTTCTGAGTTTACCCACAAAAATTTTCCAAGGAAAGCTACTGAGATAACAAAACGGTTCCGTTTCCAGAAACACGCTTAAAGCGCCTTCTCGCACAGCTGTTCGGCGCTTTTCAACTTCTAATTGTGCTGGATGTGATCGTCTCTTCTCCAATCTCCAGTTAAAATTTTCGCGAAGGTGGAAGGATTTTCGAAGATATTCTTCGCCAACTGGTTCGGGAAAGCGTTTTCCAGGCGGAGCGTTTACAACTGACGAGGCAGCCATTTACGCCCTCTCCTATTTCTCGATTAGGTCGCAACTATTGGAGACCAGGGCTCGCATGAGCAAAGAAAATATTTAATCACGGCTGTCTATACAGCGCAGTGATCCGCGGTTGTGCATGACTAAAGGATCAATAGGCCTTTCAACCATTGCTGCCGCAACGACCTTGCAAGTAGACCAAACACACTTGGAAAATAGTTTCTGCAGAACATTTTAGAGAGAAGCCGCCTTCCCTGCATGATATTAATTTAAACCGCTAAGTGCCCATAGCTTTGCACAAGTTTAGAGTTTAAAAATGGCTTTCCAACTAGGGTGAAAAGCTACTCTAACCATCTAGAAATACAAATTAATTTCCAAAGCTAATGGCCTTGCAGGAAAAGAATACCTTTCCTGCGCACAGCCTTTCTATGTATATAATTATCACGAATATGTTGCTAAAAGATAATGTGATTTCGCGCTAAAGGAGAATGTGATGTGCTAGAGTCGATCCAGCCAAGTCCTGGAGATTAACATTAGCATTGAAACTCCTTTCGGCGTCCAAGGGGTCTGAATGCCCGTTTGAATTCATTTGAAGTCAGGAATCATGAATCCAAAAAGGATGGAAAGGCCAGGCTTTTATACGGAACGGTTAGGTATATAATTCTGTCTTCGGCAGCTGAACTGACGGCAATTTCTAAGCTAAAGATGATCACTAGTCCAGTGTGATACGATAACTAACAATAAAATCTTCATTTTTACAGAAAGCCAGCTGACTATAAAATGCATTGAAAAAAAAAACAACCGCACCGATCTTCCAAAGGGTTAGCTGAGACCATTGCGACATTTGCTCGTCATGGCACCAGCTTTGCTGGTACAAGTGACAGTTCTACTCCAGGTATTCCCACTAGCACCGGTACGATTAATATTAAATTTCGTCAAAAGGCATCTCTGCGAATTGAAGAATGACCCAGCAAAACAAGCAGTAAACGACACTCACCGAAAGGCCGTCACCACCTTTACCAACTATCGCCCCTTGAATGTCGCCATCGAAGTTCAATCCCCACGAAATGCAAAGAAAGAGCTTAAGTTGCCTTGCGAGATCCGCGTTACTCTGGATCAACTGCGGTCTGGTTAGTGTCGTAGGTAAAACTCTTACCTATCAAGACCAGACCTCGACGCCGTTCATGCATGTCCAGCATGTGAAAATTCCCCACATGATACCAATCACCTCCTCACATGCCCACTCAACCCTACTCAATTAACAGCCCTCTCCCTCTACCTTTGGCCCCATACCGCAGCATTTTTCCTGGGCCAAGCGTTAGCTGAGCTTGATGACACCGATTGAGAGATTATCTGCCTCTTGGTAAAGTAACCGCTACAAAAATAACATTAGTACCTGCAATAGCAGAAAAACGGTAGATATCCACCCGTCAAATTTCCTAGCAACGTTGATCTAATTTAGGTGCCCAACGCACAGCATCCCTTTTCAGTCTTATTAAACCAGAAATTTGTTTAAAAGGAGCTCCCTTGGAACAACTTGGAAGAGAAAACTGGTAACACATATCCTCCATCACGGTTCGACTCTGCTAGACGCAGGGCTCGAACGCTAGGCAAATACTTCTTCAAGGAATATGATGAAGTCGGGTCCATGGATACCAGAGAGCTGATGCTTAGAGCGAATTGGTTTTAAGGGGATAACGGAAACAACTACCCCAAAGTGGTATCAAAAGGGTTCAGTGTTTAATTGTATCCTACATAGAGACACAAGTATTCTACTATCTATCTTCCTGGTCTGTTGGCTCTTAAGGAAACTTATCTCATTGAAAGTCTCCTCACATAAAACTTCATGAATATGTGAGGCTCTGTGCTGAGTCTCTATTAACTCACATTAGTATCTCATCGATTACCCCTGAAATGTCTAGTGACTACTTGCTTGTAGCTAATGACTAATCCGAATTTCGTAGAAGGACAGGCTCGTTTGAATACAAACAACCGTACTAAACTAAATGCTTCAACTGTCTTCAAACTGACTTGTGGTTCAAATTGCACCGAAGCAACAGCAGGTTCGGATGTAATACCAGCGGAGTTTTTCAAAGTTTTCCCAAGCTTGCCACTGAATTGCTGGATCCACTCATTAGCGCTATCAGGGATAGCGGCTGCTTCCTAGGTGAGTAGACTGATGGCATTATTATAAAAATCCTGAAAAGTGTAACCTGAGGGGATTTTGATAACAGGCGTGGTATGGCGCGCTTAAAGGAACATCTAAATTCAACTTACGACAATTCGCAGTCGAGTTTCCGCGCGGGGTTCTTCTGCACAGATACTATAATCATCGATTGTCGATTTTTGAAAATCGCGAAAAATTGTCACTACGATGAAGCTGGATGCGGTCTACAACACAAACCGAAAGCTGTCTCCGACCTTCGAAGTTCGCGGCGGGTTTGGACAAGGTTGCATACTCTCACCTCCCTTTTTGGTGTTTGGGGATGCGTTGTATGCTGCCATGAGACCATTACCCGACTGCGGGCTTCGGTGGTCCCTGTCCAGTTCACTGCAGAGCATCGACTTATTGGGCGACGCGACACATCGAGATACTAAGGGGCAGGACTGAAAATCTAATTTAATAAGACCAAGCGTCTAAGTATGCCAACGAACGTGACAGTCTCTGACAAAAATATTAAGACTTTGAGGAACTTCACAAACTTTGCAAATCCATTGTGCTCCCGGCACTGCTGAAGGGCAGTTCTACCTGTAAAGTCACTACTGCAATAACCAGGCGCCTGGCGGTTTTTTTAAGGATGGTACTCCGAGTTTTTTGAGAAGAAGCTAGTATGAAGCCACTTAACTTCCGCCTGCGAAGATGGAAATGGAAGTGGATGGTTAACAATTTGAGCAAAGAGGTCGGCAGTGTTGCACATAACACCTTGGTAAGAAATGCAGGCAGGCCTCCGGGATTAAAGTCCTCGAGGAATAAGATAAATTCATCTTATTGAAGGCATATTTTACTTGTTAGAAGGTTTAGTGGTAGCTCTTCAATTAGCATTCAAAAAGAGTTAAGATGATCAAGGAGGGTTTAAGAGAGTACATTCAAAAGCTGGTAAATTGCGTTATAGAGAATTTGCTTTAAAAGTGAGATAAATTCACATAACAATACTCAGGTTGAAGGGTCAACGCCACAAGAAATCATACCTGATTACATTTGCATACAATCAAGTAAAGTAATGCCCATTCTGTAAAGAGCTAACTCACTCAAGCACGCAAATTAAATTGCGACTCACTTAGGGTATGCCACGAGCAGTTTTCTTTGCTTTTAGTTGCGCAACTTCAGCTCAATTTCACTTCAAAGGACACTAATACAAATGGTAATACAAACACACATACGAGTGTCTCGAAATCGGCATGCATACCTGTTAGAGAGAGGGTTTTAAAGCGCTTTATTATAGAGATACCTTAGCGCATACATATTACATGCAAATTTCTATTTTTTTTTATACAAGTATGCAGTTTCTACGACCCTTTACCGCAAATTTTTCAAACTCCAACAACTCGATATTTTTTCCACACTAGCGATTTACCCTTATTACTTTACCTTGACAAGCAGCGAACCAGCTAACCTTTCGCTACCTCAACTCAGTCAGCGAACAGGCAAAAAATAAGTGAAATAAAAGTAAATAAATACAGAAAGGCTTTTAATACAAACACACACCTTAATTTGTGTGCGTGGAATTTAAGTGAAAAGCAAACAATTCGTGACACGCATCGTAACGCGCACACCAACTCATGTGCATGCGTATGCATGTGTAAATATGCCGAAGAATGCGAAAATGTAATCCACTTAAAAGCAAAAACACTTGTTAAGGCATGTATGTGAAGTCCGCTTTTAGGCGCGCGCGCACGCTCGCTCCTCAACGTTCGGTACATTTAATTAAAGCTACAAATGTTGGCTCATATATTTTTTACGTTCATATTTATATATGTAGTGTGTGTTGGCAAGTTTGTTTGTTTAAATAGGAGCAAAACATTTCTACCACAGTGTTGACGAACTTTTGTAAGCATATGCCATATTGGATGCGAGTATAGAGTGCAAGTGGTTTCTGTGTTTCTGTGTACATAGACGTCGGGCTGCGCATTGCCAACCACTTGTGTGGTCGTGCAAATTGCTTGGACTGTTGTTGTTGACAGCAGCAGGTATTTTGTTACACTGTGCAGTTGTTCGCTACCGAAAAGTAAAGCCCTTGAAATATTTACTACAACGTGTACACTACCACTATTGCCGCTGCTGTTAAACAAGTTGCAAAAATATGTCGCATATA